GTTGACCTTCATCATTAGCTTTTAAATAATAAATTACTCATTAAGTATGGTTTAAGGCATTCTTTATAGTTAACACACAATTAAAAATGTTAGTAAAAACCATTTAAAAAATTTTATTGCAGTAAATGTCTTTTGATTATCTACCGGACGTAAGTTTATTTTAAAACAATTATATGTAATAAATTCACAATACCATTTCAGGAAGGCTGTGATGATGGCTCGACGAAAGCGCTCGAAAATATAATAAGTATGATGATAACTATATGACAGCTGTATTAAAGGAAGTTTTCTCCACGGTCACGGTAAGCCCCATATACCACAACACCAATAAATTATCAGTAGTAATACTATAAGTACTTCAAAATAATCAGGTTATACATCGATAACTTGTTGCATAATTATAAAGAGTGTCAGTTTGACAGTTTAAATAATCCGACCGCGAAGCGGGAGGATTATTCTGTGCCAGATGGCGCACCAGTCGCGAAAAGTATGTTCAGTTGCCTAAACCGATAAATATTACAGAGTTACTTTCCGATCGATGTATAAAATTGCAAACAACACGATACACAGAATAACGGTGTGTTCCTGCGCATGCAGCTGACTGACGGTGACGTCACGTGGGACAGAATTATTAGTTTTAAATGGGAAATAGTGTTTGAAATTCGATATATCGCCGGTTTTAGATTTTATGCAGTTACTTAAGCTTTATTGGTTATTTTGTAATATATCGTTTACAAATATGAAGGTTTAAGGTAAATAATACTAATAAAAATATTAAATTTTACGTATTTTGTGACAAAATCCATAACCTGGATAAGATAAATAAAAAATATGGACTAAAAATATAAGTTTGACTGAAATTTGTACTTTCTGGGAGTGGTAGATCCTTCTAAATTTATTTTCTTAGTATGCAGAAACAAATTATTTTTTTATAAAAAGCAAGTACACAAAAAATAATTTTTTATTTGGTAAATTTAATCATTTTTTTGCCAAGTTTACTTTGAAAATATTCAAAACCAATTTTTCTATTCATGTATCTTATTCTTATATATGTTCCTGTCCTGCTCTTGCATAGTATTTCTTGAAAATGGACCGTTGTATTGGGACAGGAAACTACTGCTTTATCTGCTAAAATTTTAAAATACCTATTTTCTTTGCTTAATAAAGCCCCATGCACCTGGTGGAATTCAGTTTTATTCTCTTGCGTTTATGTTTACTACTTTCCTCAAAGTAGATAGGGCAACTTCATGCTAAAATAATATTTTAGCAACTTTTCACTGTCTCTAAACCTATTACACTTGTGCATTTTACTAACCATTATTGTTTAAATTAAGTTTGTCCTTTCTATGATAAGAATTTATCCACATTTTGTGGCATTCGAAAATATCTTACATTACACTATTTTTGAATTTCGAATTATGGATTTTGCAAGTCTCCACCGCGCAGCCCGGCCATTTAAATATTAATTCAGTTCTTCCCTATTATATATAAGAAAATATAGTCACTACTAACACAAAAACAAATAAATTATTAAATTATTTTACACTATTCAATCAAAAAGTGTCACAAGTGTAAATTAAAAATTTAAAAAAACCGACTTCAAAAACATGCAGATGCCATCACCACATCTTAACCAAATTTATATGGGATCACCCCTGAGGTACCCCCTTACTAACAAAAAAATAAGCATATAAATCGGACAAGGTGGTAAAGCATTATCGCTAAACATACATAAAAAATGAAGAGTTTGAGGATTTTCTCATGGACCCAATTATTATATTTTGACCAAATTTATATGGGACCACCCCTGAAGTAGCCCCTTTCTAACAAAAAAAGAATCATATAAATCGGACAAGGTGGTAAAGCATTATCGCTAAACATACATAAATAAAAATGAAGAGTTTGAGGATTTTCTCATGGACCCAATTATTATATTTTGACTAAATTTATATGGGACCACCCCTGCAGTACCCCCTTTCTAACAAAAAAAGAATCATTGAAATCGGACACCGTGTTAAAGAATAATCGATGAACATACATAAAAAAAAAAAAAAAATATCGCGACGAATTGATAACGGTTAAAAATAACTTGAAAGTTCGTCCCGAATTACGTCACTGCGCGGTTTGGACAAAATTTGAATCGAAAGTCAGTATACCGTTAGTGGCTAGTATGTGTATCGTGGGCAAACAATAAATATTGTGTATATTTGGCGAATTTTGAATTCAGTTTGAGCTTTTAGGTTCGGTGTTGCCGTCTCTACAGATAGTTTGTGAATCCACAGACAAAGCTCATAGTAGCGTTGGAAATAGTCCGTTTTTAAAATACATTTCTACAAAAAATTTATTCCTAATGAAAGTTGTTTCTATTACGAAATAAAACAAAATTCACAGAAAAATAAATAGGGTGGGCATAAAATTGCTATAAAATAGGTAGTGTTACAGAATAAATACAAAATCCGAGCGCGAAATTATGAAACGAGCTTGTCGATGTTGGTCTGAAATTATAACATAACACACTTTCTAAAAAAATTATCGTTCAGCTCCGAAAATCTTACAGTCGGAAAAAATTAATAGGTACCTATTTTGCTTAAATAGTGGAGAAAAAGACATTCCTATAGCAAAAATCAAGGGCGCTAATGGCGTTTTATAAAAGGCTTTGAGCTCATTATGAAACCCAAGTTTAAAACCCCATTTATAAACAAATAATTTTCTATTCTGTGATGTGCAAATAAAAGGAAAGAATGCCACCCTTGGCAACGTTGTAATTTTATGTGTTGTCATCAAAATAAGTGATCTGTCTGTGGTTGTCAATGTCATTGCGAATGCGAATAAAATAACAAATACATGTTTATTAGTAAATTAGGCATTCCAAACAAATGAAGCGCGGTTCTAAGGTTTGGAATCTCTAAAGGGTTGCGACATACGATGTAGTCTATTTACAATACGAGAAATCAAAATTAATGAATTAAATTTAAATATTTTATGTCAAGCACAATGAAAATATTATTTTTATAGAAACCGTTTATGCATTTTCTATAAATTGGCAGGCTTGGCGATTACTATTTCAAATAGAAATAGCGTCCAAGATTAAAGGCTATGTCGCAATCCCCTTAGATTTATGAGCCCTTCCAACTGACAATTATTGTATGACAGGTCTTTGGAATATCTAATTGTGTGAGAATAATCCACATACTTTGATTTTCTTTACTATACGGCGCAAGAGAGAGGTCCGACACGCCCAATATAGGGCCCGGCCATTTTGAACCCTATGCAACAGTTTATAGCTAAAGAATCAGATCGCTCACTCTGCGTCGGCACTTTTGATCTCAATGTTCCAGTTTATACACTGCGCAACTCGGATAATACAATATATAACAACCGCCTATAATAAAACAGCTGTCTTCTGCGTATCCTAAATTTGTATCCCTGGAGTGGATCTTATTTTGAAACTTTCAACTGGTCCGAGTGAGCTAACTGATTCTTTAGCAATAATCTGTGACAAAAAATAATATTCACTGACACTGACAGCCGCAAGCAAAATATCAGGTGCGTTTTAATCATCCGCTTCTGCTTCCGGAATTGTCGGTTTAGTCGTTTTAACTTGTCAAATTAAAACAAGAAAACCGACAATTCCGAAGCAGAAGCGGATGATTAAAACGCACCTATTAAAAATATTGCGCCAAGATGTAGGCCACACGTAATAAGGGTTCAAAATGGCGGAGTTTTCTATCTCCTTTTAAAAGGCACTCAGAAAGCTGCGCAGTGCGACCATTCTCCGTATAGTAAAAGAAAATCAAAGTATGTGGAATAATCACTGTGACTTTAATAAATCGACAAAGAAGTGGTTTTTATTATGGGTCGAGTACAAATAAAAAACAGCAAAAGATTGGTTGGATTATGTCACGTTTTGTGTTGTACAAGTCTTAAACTTGTACGATTATATATATTGAGCGTTTAGAGGCCGCATAATTAGGTTATCATTGGACGAAGACTGTTCAATACAGTATCTCTTAAATTTCCAAAATAAAAACTAAAACAAATAATATATTTACCTACATATATTTATACGCTTTTCTATTTATGAATGTGTAAAGGCTATAGAATAAAGTGTTCATAAAAAGTAATTATAATTAAAATAAGCTCAAAAAACTAGAAACCGTGTTAAACTTATTAAATAAAAACCGATTATATATAGAAATCTAATTTTGTTAGTCATCAACGGCCGAAAATGGTACGTCTAGATGTTTTTATACGATAATTGGTAGACTATGCAACCACAAATGCACAGAAATGTATTTCAGGCTGCCTAACAATTTCTTTAAAGGGGGGGGGGTTATGGCGAAGACGTAAGGGACGAGGATTTTGAGGTTATGTATGAAATTGACGGAGCTGATGGGTATAGAACCCTCTTAATAATAATTTCTCAATAAATTCCACGGTAACCTATATATTTTATTGTAAAAAACAAAACCTAAATATTTCAAAAACCTTATTTTTAGTTTTTTTCTACTCCATCTAATCAATAAATAATAGTAAAATTAATTATAATTCGAAAATTGTTGTTGAAGTCTTACTTCCTCATAAGAAACTGTACACACACATTTTTAAAAAAAAAATTTCTCAAAAATTTGCACGGTAAGGTATAGTTCACTATTAGATAAATAAGGACATCTACTATTAGAAAAAAATTAATTTTAGTCATAATCTAATATTTTTTATTTAACATTGGTGGCGAAAGGACCTCCTTAATAAAGACTTTTATTGATTATGCATATATTGATTTTAAAATAAAAAAGGTCTGATTTTATTTATTTTTTTGCAACTGGTGACATAATGAATTTTTCGTAACCAGTTTCATAATGTTCGATATTATACAACTGGGTACGTAAAGCAGATCATTTTGACTCTTGTTGCGATTACAGAAAATGTCACGTTACAAGCCAAAATTAAAAAAAAAAAATTAAATAGTATAAATTAACCAATTGAAGGGGTTTAAATACCTGAGATCTGTCTTTGTGTTTAATTATTTTCTCAAATTGTGACATCAGCCTCCTGATTTCACTTTCTTGGTCAACGATGACTGTTTCCAAGTCTGCAACTTGCTTTCTAAGACAATCTCTTTCTTTCTTCACATGCTCACCTGCTTCAATTTCAGATTTCCACTTCTGACAATCACATTGCATGACTAAAATTATATACAAAAATATAGTTTAAAAAAAACTAAAAAACACGCTTTTAGAGCATATCAAACTAAAAAGTTAAAAATAATTTTTCAAATAAGATTAAAACAATAAATGGAAAATACTAGTATTATTGTGAAAAAAGCGTCGGGCGCTCGATGTACGAGAAATATGGACAAAGCGCCACACGTTTTTTTCACAATAATACTAGTTTTTTCCATTTATTATTGTTCTAAGCTTACTTGAAAAATTATTTTTAACTGTTTAGTTTAATATGCTCTAAAAGCGCGTTTTTTAGTTTTTTTAAACTATATTTATTTTCACTGTTTAGTTCGATGTATTATAAAAGCGTGTTTTTTAGTTCTTTTAAACTATATTTTAAACTATATATTTTAGTTCGATTAATTATTAAAAAAAAAAAAATTGTATTATTTTTTTTTCAGCCGTGGAGATTAGAACCCAAGATCGGTGAGTCTGGCGATCGACAGACCCGCGCCTTAGACCGCTCGGCCAACGAACGCACTTGAGGTAGTGGGATATATTGACAGTAATAAGCTACTTGCTTTTAGTCCAAAGGAGAGTTACAAACATACATACATACATACATACATACATACATACATACATACATACATACATACATACATACATACATACATACATACATACATACATACATACATACATACATACATACATACATACATACATACATACATACATACATACATACATACATACATACATACATACATACATACATACATACATACATACATACATACATACATACATACATACATACATACATACATACATACATACATACATACATACATACATACATACATACATACATACATACATACATACATACATACATACATACATACATACATACATACATACATACATACATACATACATACATACATACATACATACATACATACATACATACATACATACATACATACATACATACATACATACATACATACATACATACATACATACATACATACATACATACATACATACATACATACATACATACATACATACATACATACATACATACATACATACATACATACATACATACATACATACATACATACATACATACATACATACATACATACATACATACATACATACATACATACATACATACATACATACATACATACATACATACATACATACATACATACATACATACATACAGGTGAAGCTAATAAAAGCGTGTTAAAAAAGTCTGAAAATGTCTAATTTGGGGAAAAAAAATAGGTGGCTAAATATTTTTGTTCTTAGTTTTACACCTCTCGGACCTCCCGTGCTCTCACCCCAATCCGCCTGAAGCCTGGCGGCACTGCAGACTGCGGCATATTACTTGTTAGGAAATTATTACTTAATTTTTAAAAAATGAATTGTTATGTCATATTTAAGAATAGAATGTACCCAAATAAATTTCAAATGTCAAATATAATAGTGGGTACAACGACGAAAACTAATAGAGACCAATTTTGTTTACAAAAATCGAATTGTGAATATTCACGGTGTCATTCTCGTAGTTGTCAAATTATTATAACCGTTCTAAAGCGATGAACCAGAAATCACTTTGGTTATACCCTTGGTTAACCTTGAAATAACCGGTTATTGTAACGCATTAACGTTAAATCGTTTTTAAGGAATATGATATGAAAATTTGACATTTAATTTCTAGGCTAATTTTATGAAACTGGCCGGAATAAAATTGTGTGATGTTGATATGTTATCAAAAAGAATTATATTTGTGTAGACTGGATGTTACAATTTAATAAGGAATAGTTTGATATGTTTTTTACATGGTGTCAGAAGCATTTTTTGATAATTTAGGTAGCTAATGTCATTTCCAATTTTGACTGAGCTAATTCTAAAATCTAACCAAAAAACACTAATTGCATGTCACTTCCACTTGTCATTATTAACCCACGTCTGGACTCAGGTATTTACCGGTTATAATTAATGACGTTTTAAAGGGCTTAAATATGACGTTATAGAAAGTAACCAAGGATAACAAACATCGCTTTAATTAAAACGGTAAATACCGCAAATTACCGGTTAATCGCTTTAAAACGGTTATAGATCGAGTATGGGAGAGTATTGTTACAAGGATTGTTTTGGATTATAATTCGGTATTGACTAAACATACGGCTCTATCACATAAAAGTACGCAATTAATTTTAAAGTGTGACAGTAGTATGAAGCAAGGGTAGTAGACGTAAATACTGATTCATTCATAAAATGCATGCTCGCTCCTCAGATAAATATACTCTCACAATCCATCCCCACTTAAATTTGCAGCTGTCTGTCTCCTTTTAAATGTGGCAGCACAATCGAAATGATTGCAATAAAATAGGACTTAATTATGAATGAATGGATACAATAAAAAAATATTTCTTTTGTAGTTTATTTAAAATTATTTTTTTTATTTATTGTACAAGACAACAAAGTAATAAAATTATATTATTTAAAGGGCAATAAATTTATTTTATACCGATGGCGTTTGTTTTATTTTTGTGCAAGTAATTTTAAGAATCATGTCCAGTACGAGTTTATTTTGTAAAATTACTTTTAGATTTACGGCAAAAGTAGATATATTTTTTTATAACACTTTTTACCCCAAAATACCCGACTTTTAAAGAAAATATTTTTTTTATATAGAAAAACGTGTTATTCCCCTTAATGTTAAAATATGCAATAACTACCAATTTTTTATTTAGTTTTAATTTACAATTTCTGTTTAAATAGCTTTAATTTTTTTTTATGTATAATTTATAGTCCAGTAACCGAAGACCTGAAAATATGCAAAGCTGTCATTAAGTCGGTCCAGATTTCCTTTGTGGCTCAATTCTTAGGTCTTGACGGTTGCTTTCAAGGGCGAAAACTTTTATCAACTCTGCTGCGTCGGAAAGGGCCCAAAATGGACCCTAAAACTGGTTTCCCGCCAATATCTTCCACAATATGCAAATTAGAGAATTTTTGTTTAGATAAAAAAGAAAGATCTTAACATTATCTACAAAAATGGCCCCGATCATTTTTGTCGGGAATTCGACAGATTTCGAGATAACCGCAATCAAAAGTCCCCTCGTTCAGCCCCTGCTTTATCTCTATAGCAATGCTGATTAGCTTGTAAACGGGTGGACAAATTGTTTTAGAACTCGGTTAAATATTGATATTTTTCGATTATTCAAAGGTCATTACAATGGGAAATCCCATAGGTATCGATCCATGTGCCTTGAGCCCGTTATTTCCTGTCAAGAACATTGAAAAAGGGGTCAAAGTTGCGTTTTCTCACTATTTTGGACCACTTTATAGTAATTCATTCATATTTTTTCCTTTAATAGTTTTTTTATCCCATTTTTGTTTTAAATGGGATCTTGAGATGTCTCGAATGATCTCAGAAATTTTTTTTCAGTATCTTCCTGGCGTTTATTTGCATTTTTCATACGTTTTCGGAGTTCTAGAAATCTTTGAAACAAGCAGTAATTAAAAACTCATATTTCATTATATTGTTATTCAATGCACACCATTTTAAAGCTTAGAGTGTCTACTTTTCGAATGTATTTTTTTTAAGCGACCGCCGAGACCTAAGAGTTAAACCACAACGGAAATCTGGACAGACTTAATGACAGGTTGGTCCCTTCAGTTACTGAACTATAAATAGTTTTCGTTTCAATAGTTAAATTGTTTTTGTTTAAAAAGGGAGTTTTCCAGAAGTTGCTTTTTTATACTTCTGAAACAAAATTCACTAAATCTAAATATACAACTGAAAATTAGATTGTACTAAATTGTTTATATCTGCTTTTAACTTAAATCAGAAAAAATAATTTTAGTATATACTTGACCATTCTATCCAAATTGAAAATAGTACATTATATACCTAGGGTGAGAAGTGAGCTATTATTTACCGAGCACTTTTATAATGTGCGAGGTAAATAATAGCTTTCTCAGCCGAGGTATATATAGAATTTTTTTTACTACTAACATTAATGTATTAGCAATTTTAATTTTGACATAAGTAATTTCCTAACAATTTGTTAAATATTTCGAAATATCAAGCAGACTGGAGCGTGTTTCTAATCAGACTGGCTTTATTTATGTAAAAATTTGGCATGTGTCAAATTTTGGTATGATTCTAGGAAATACCCCATTGCATTTTTGATATTTTAATGACATGGATTTATTGTTATTAATTAATAATTTTTAAAGCCGGTGTTGAATTTCCTAGTTAATATATATTTTTACTATTAACACTGATATATATTATCATATTTGATTTGATTAGATTTTAATAAACCCAGCTTTAGTTATTTCCTACTTATTTTTCAAATATTTCAAAATATCAAGTAGTCTGGGAGTTTAGTTGTCAAATTAACAAAATGAAACTAATGAAATTTAGTTTCATTATTTACCTAGGTTTTTTTTTATTATCATTATTTACCTAGGGAGAGAAATATTACTTCTCATTAGAGGAATGGAGTAAATAATGGTGATTTCTCATGTTAGTAGTAAAAAAAAAAACAGTTAATCTGGACCTACAGCCCAACTCTGTGCCATTTGAAAAGCGAAGTGTAGATTACCACATACCAATGCGACGTTCATTTCAACATGATGCGGTTTTGGTACTCTGATGTATTGTGAAATCTCAAACAGTGCATTTAGATTGGCTATCTACCTTATTTCTACTACACTATCAACATCGACACCGCGATTAGGAGCAACCTTTATAGCGTGATCGGACGAAGAAGCAAACTTCTTACCAAGACCAAACTACGAGTGATAAGATTTATAATCACACCCATTATCTTATATGCTTCCATTGCATGGGGACAAACATGCATAACAAACAGGAAGAAAGTACAGGCTTAACAAAATATGTGTCTCAGAGTAGCTGCGAAGGGGTTTATGACTTCCTACTGTATGTCAGCACATTCATAGCGATGAAACACGGTAGGAA